CCAAAAGTGACAATATACTACCCCAAATGAAGATCTAAGTAACAGAAAGCATAGGTATCAACTTTATACCTAAAATGAGTTAGAAATGCAGCTCAAACTCTTGATCTACTAGCTTCCTCTTGAATCCCCAAGCTTCTCCTTCCTTCACAAGCTTCAACAATCACAAAGAATGCACAAAATGGCTCAAAACTCTCCAAAAGTGGATTAGGGTTTCTTGGCTAGGGTTTGGGACGATGGAGGCTATGAATGAGGCCAGCCTTTGGAGGTTAATGTGTTTAAATAGGGCGTAAAATCCTTAAAATTAGGGTTTCATTCTGCCATGCCTACTCGTCGAGTTGAGACTTTCAACTCGTCGTGTAGACTTCATAACCCGCGTCCAAATCCATCTCTACTCGACGAGTTTGGGGCCTCCAACTCGTCGAGTTCCTGCACAAAAATAAATAACTTATAACTTTAAATACATACCAGGAACCGAGTGTTATAATTACATTATTTCCTACATGCACACGTTCTAATTTGAACATTTATAACATAAGTATCACTAAAATAAAAAACTTCAAACATGTCAGACGTCATCTTTCTTGCATGCCATCAGACAAAATTGTGCATCCTCCTTTGAAGAACCATATCCACACACGAGGTGAGTACACCAGAGAACCACCCTGTAAAAAAACAAAAAAAAAACATTATGATTTTGTTCATGTAACAACTACATATTTACTAATTTATTTCCTAAGACATTGCATTCGATGAAAATCCGTTGAGTGTATTCACATACAACCTTAATGATTGTCGCTATCGGTAAATTACGTTCATGAATCGATAACATGTTGATGACATATGGAATACCAAGGTTAATTACATTCCAACGGACGTTAGGGAGAAATGGTCTTTCCCATATCGCATGACCGATATTGGCAAGCTAGTCACATGCAACCTGTTTTCTATTTTATTCTACCAAAGATTCTTCAAAACATACATTGTATATGATTTTCATGCACGCTAAAACAAAAAATAAAATTTTCTATTTCGACCAACCCTAGAGCGCACATCAACCACACTATTTGTCACTTCATGACAAAATTTTATAGGCAGAGTTTGGTTGCTTCTGTCCATAGAAACCACTATGAACATTGAGCGTTAGTAATCCTATAATAAAGGGAAACTACATATAAATATGAATGGTTATAACGACGTCATATAAGACTTGACCTAAGGAAAAGGTTATCACGACGTCCATATTAGTTATGAACGCTACTTCCCTAGCTCTCCTAAGAGCTTCCTTCAGCCTCATGTCGAACCAGGTACAAAAGTTGACACTATTTGTCACTTCCTGACAAAATGTTATAGGCATGGTTTGGTTGTTTCCCTCCATAGAAACCACTATGAACATTGAACGTAAGTAATCCCATGATAAATGGAAATTACATATAAATATGAATGGCATCATGCACACAATGAATGTATGAAGCTATAATTTTTGGCAAAGTTAAACAATTAATGGTAACAAATTAATAAATGAAACATAAACAATTAAAATTTAGAAAATATTTCTTATCACTCATCCAAGAGCCATAAAACATAGTTGAAAACGATACATAACATATGTTTTGATGTTGGTGTAAGTATGAATGTTCGTTCTTCCAAGGTTATGCAAGTAAGCATGTTAGCAAAACTTGCTTCATGATCACTATTTGAGAAACTCAGTGGTTGTAAGTGAAAAAAAAGGAATACACATGATATGTATGAGAAAAATATTTGGAATGTGTCTCCCGAACATTGACACCAGTCTGAAATGTACAATGCGTAGTCCGGAACACTAAGATATAGTCTGGAATGTAAGTCTAAAATGCACGTTGTTAACTATAGTTGCCTGATATTGATTACATTAATTCGAATTTTACAGTATCAGATTTCAAACTTCATATCTGGCCAATGACCACCAACTTCGGGATTATGTTAAATACTCTGAAATAGTGTATTAAGGACTTGATGGTTATTTTACAAATCTTAAAAAGAAAAAAGCCATTTTTTTTTTTCAATATGTTACTTCTTTGCCCTTTGTTAATACTTCAAAACTCGATTATACTTTGACTCTATCCATATGATATTACACCGTTTCATTTGTTTATTTAAAAAGAAAATTATAGTTGTTTGCATAACAAAAAGGATAGAGGGGCACGATAGGGTAAGGATAGGCACAGGTGGGCTGTAGCCGTAGGGTAGCACCAGCCCCCCTCCATGTAAAAGTCTAGAAACCTACTTTCTGAAACCCCTACTTCTGATCCCTGACTCTTTTCTTTCTCCCACACGCATGCATAATTTCTGTAAACCCCCTCAGCTCTTTCATTTGTGACATTTTATACTCCTGTCCTCAATCTCTCTCATAGTTAACCATATGAATTTACTAGTTAAATTGTTGAAATTAAAACTTTTGGAATAAAAACATATCAAATATATCAAGCAAAAATCACTCAACTTTTTCTTAAAATATAAATAAGTTTTAAGTTTATTATTGTTTTTATACATAAGTTTTTAAGTTTGTTGTTGTTTATAACCACTTGTGTTGTAATGATTTGATAAAACATGTGAAATATATGATGAATAACATATTGAAAAATTTTCAAATCCTGGTACTAATTAGATCTGTGCCTATAGAGGTTCGTCTGTAGTGACTTTATGATATGAGGCATAGCCATATATTCGCAGTGGGGGATTAATCGGTGCTCGAAAGCTGGACCGAAAACCTTCGTTAGGAAAGTTTCCCTTCTAAAAAACATATTATTTATTAAAAGATAATAAAGATTATAAAAATCACTAGATGTTACCTAGTTGGTCAATTAAGATTAAAGATTAATTGGCCTGGACAAAGATTAACTAGGAACCTAAGTTATATAAGAAATTTTTTAAATAAGTATAAAAAAATAACAAAGTCTAATCAATTTTATGCGTGTATATACATCAAAAATCATAAGATAATTAAAAGTTACAACAAATAACAAAATTTGATTAATTTTATTCTAAGATACATAGAAGTCTGTCGGCATGAGGAAAGACAATAGATGTAAAGTTGAAAATATGTAATTTAGTTTACCAATCGTTCGTATATAAATACATTCTTTAATTGACTTCATTTAGTTTTGTTGATTTTTTTTATTTTTTTTGATAATTTTGATTATTTGATAAGTTGACTAAGATAGTGTTTGTTTTTTCTCTGCAGATCTGCGTGACATCTTCTGTTTGCGCGGCGCAGACCACGCGCAGACATTAGCATTCGCAGACTGTTTGTTTTTTTGAAGACTGCAGACCTAAAAATGTCTGCGCGCCCTCTTCTTGGCACAGATATGGACCAGAGTCTTCTACATCTTCAGACATTTTCTAGCCTAAAAAACATATATATCTTTATTTTTTTTAAGTTTTTTTTTAATTTATATTTTTTCCAACTTTATTAATGATAAAAAATTTGAAATTTTTTTTACAAAACTTAAAAAATAAAAAAACTTTCGATGATACAAACATGATATTTTTGACAAATTTATAAATAAAGATTTATTACAATAATAGTCGTTGAAGTTGTTTATATAAAATATGAAAAAAAATCATAATATATTCTTATATTTTTTTGCCAAATTTTATAAAACATTATTTAATACAGTATCGTTAATTTCTCGAGAAAATATTTATTGTATGTTTTTAATGGATTTAATTGAAAAAACCAAAGTTTATTTCCATCCATTTATATATCAAATTCTTTGATCACTAATTATAATTTTTAGTTATAACTTTGCAACCAAAGTTGTTGGTTTTTATCAAATATATACGTTAATTCATACCATTTTTATTTTTATTTTTTATATAATAATACATAAAAGTTGATCTAGATTCGTTAATTATTTATAACAAAGTCATAAAAATATTAAAAAATCACTTTGAAGTTTAAAAAAATCAGTTTATTTAGATTTCAGTTTATTTTATTAGCCCGCAGATGTTAAAAAAACAAACAGTCTTTTTTTTTCAGACTGCAGACGTTTGGTCCACCTCTTCTACTGCAGAGGTCTACAGATGTGGTCCGCAGACTGCAGACATTTTGCCTTAGAAAAAACAAACAGCACGTAACTATCTATTCTGATTAAACGGTTACCAAAGCCGAATAAATTGACTGATTTTATTTAATACGACCAATTTATATTATTCGTTAACCCATGAAGACCGGCAAACAATTAGTGATCGATTAATCGGCCATATAAATTGATTTTTACACTCATAACATTTCATACTAAAAATTCCGGTCGAATCCAACCCAATCGACCTGATCTTTTAATATGATTCAAAATAAATTGTGTCTAAATAAATTGTAGCAACGACATTGTTGTTTAAATATATAAAAATAGGACAATAGGATATCATCAATATTTAGAAAGTTATCAAATATTAAGAACGTCTAAAAAAAACTATGCTATTTCATTTCTTGTGTCAACTTAAAAAACCATTTTTTTTAAGATAATACTATTATAGTAAACTTTTTTTTCTATAAAATTTACTTATTTATTTGTAATCAATAAGATATATTATTAGAATAATACGATACCATTATCTAAAATCTTGTAAATTTATAAATAAACAGATTTTTTTCTGAAAACTAGGTTGATTTTTATAAGCTTGTTTAGACCAATAACTCTTAACTAAGATTATAATTTAAATATTATAATCATTTAAATACCTCTTAAGCATTTTTTTCCTCATGTAATCTAGTTATCAAATGGTAACAAATTAACAAGATATGCTCGAATTAACCGGTTCCTATAAAACGGAATCAATGTACCCTAAAATTAATATCAAGCCTTTTGCCACCCACCATTCCCATCTTTTTTTTTTTTTTTTTTCCTTTCTATTGTTTACTTTTTCTATTTTGTCCTTTCACCCATTATGGGACCCTTTTTCAGGTGATGTTATCTATTATAGCCTAAGCCTCTATGATCCCAAATTCCCTTTAAATTTCAGTGCGCTCCTCCATACAACGCTACACTATTCTTGAATCATCATCATCATCATCATCATCATCATGCTGGGAATAGAGGAGATACTGTGTGAGCTTGGTGGTGGCTGCGGCGGCGCTGGAGGAAGGGAGTCCGAGCAACAAGGTGGTTTGCCACCAGGGTTTAGGTTTCATCCCACTGATGAAGAGCTTATTACATTCTATCTCGCTTCTAAAGTCTTCAATTCAAGTTTTTGTGGTGTTGACATTGCTGAAGTTGACCTTAATCGCTGTGAACCATGGGAACTGCCAGGTAATATTCTGTGAAAACACACACTCAAGAGATTAATGTTTCACCATCAAACACACACTTTTTAGGGGCATCTTTCACGTTCAGATCCCCTCTACACAAGTCATTCATATACAAACACATGATAGATATTCAATGTACACTTCATTTCACCTTGGGGAACACTTCCACCTTCACACAATACCCTCTTCAGAACTTCTTATGTTTACACGCACACGACACATTCATTCACAAACTTCACCATCAAACACACACACACACACACACACTCCAGGGACACTTTCACAATCAAACACACACTTTAGGGACAGTTTGACCATCGAATACAAAAGTTAGTGACACTTTCACTTTCAAACACCCTTTTCAGAACTTCATTCACATGCGCACGCTTAAGGCCTTAAGGGATAGGTTCACCATCAAATACACACTTAAGGATACTTTCACCTTCGCACACATTGACACATATATATAGTACTTTAGGGACACTTTCACCTTCGAACACCCACTTGACCTCTTCAGAACGCATTCATCATGTACACGCGCACACAAATCCATCATACATGAATCACAAACACCATCAGACAGTTTCACACACCCTGAATACACACGCATACACACACTCTTGCAGCTTTAAACCTACACATTTATCTAGAGTATTACTTAAGTTAATACACATACTTTTGCATCCTTAAATACACATTCGTGACTCATGCACATAAATCCCTATGTACTTTAATTTCTTCCGTTGGATATTAAGTTTCTTGACCTCCATTACCTTCAAGAACATAAGTTCGATATATGCATCCAGGGTTGTAAGGGTACAAGTACTAAATGCATATCCATCTTAGGAAACTATGAATCCATCAAACAATAACTAAGTAACAATTCGTCATCTGACAGCTTTTTAGGCCCATAATTTTTTCCTGCCATGTTCATAGATATTTATTTATGTATTTATGTAATTAGTAATTATTTTTCTGGCCAAGAAAATCTAACAAAATTCATTTCTGACAATGCAACATCTAACTTTGCAATATTTTTGTATACTTGCACTAAAGGGGTTCTGTTGTGTTGTACTGTACTCTTCGCTGTATGAGTTGTACTATACGCAAATAGAGTTGCACATAAGTACCATGCATTTAAGAGATTTCTAAAGCCATTAAAAACGAAAAGGGCATTGATTGAGATATAACTGTAAATAGGGTACAAAACCAATAATTCAAACCGATTCAGACTAATTATCTTTTCATTTAATCAACAATTATTTATGCACAGCGTACATTTTTTTATGCACATTGTACCACCACATTAATTGCTTCTGTAGTATATTAATCCAACCCCTTTAAGCGCTCGATTAATTTCTATCACTGCATTTTTACAGAAAAGGAAAACAAATAAAGAAAGAAAGTTGTACATTGTGAAGAGAAAATTGTACCAACTAGATTTTTTTTAGCTCGTTTAATGAATTTTTATCAAAGTACAACTATCTATGCATATGGTACAAGGCGGTGTTGCTAATAATCTATATATATGGGGTTTGTGTAGAAGTGGCAAAAATGGGGGAAAGAGAGTGGTACTTCTATAGCTTGAGGGACAGAAAGTACCCGACCGGCTTGAGGACGAACCGGGCCACTGGTGCGGGTTACTGGAAGGCAACTGGCAAGGACCGGGAGGTTTACAGCAGCGGGTCGGGTCGGACTCTGTTGGGTATGAAAAAGACACTGGTTTTCTATAAGGGTCGGGCCCCACATGGGGAAAAAACCAAATGGGTCATGCACGAGTACCGCCTTGATGGTGACTTTTCGTATCGCCACACGTGTAAGGTACAACTACTATATGCTCTGACACATAAATAGTACAAGCTTTCAATGCAACTATTTTGTCGTTTTGTTTTGGGTTGACTTTATGAGTTTTCTTGATTGACTTTTTGATTGGACTAAAATGTCATTTCACTGTTTTGCCTTTAGGGTTTCTTATTAAATGTGTTGCTAGCAATTTAGGGGTGTGCGTCACGTTTGGTATGGGACAAAATTATTTTTGGTATTATCAAAATGAATTTTGAAACGTGAACTTAATATAAAATTGGTTTTGTTTTAGTTTAATTAATAACATGAACTTAAAAAGTTAAAATGGACTTAAAATTATCCATTTAGGTTGGCATATATAGCAATGATTTTACTATTTGATTTATCTTCTTTCATATAATTTTAGCTTCATAATGTTAGATGTGTTGATCTATAGTACAATTGTTTTTCAGGATGAATGGGTGATTTGCAGAATATTTCACAAATTAGGGGAAAAGAAAGCAAATGGAGGACAAAACTGCCTTCACTTTAAACACCAACGATCCACACCAGAACCATCACCCTCAACTCCCACCGTTACTGAAATTACCAAAAATCCCTTCCATGAAGGTACTACACCCTTAATATTGCACCACACTAACCCGCCATCCCTCCAAAACCCGTTTCTATTTGGTGACAATCATCAAGAAATCCATGGCCAAGACCTAAAATCACTACTAAACCTACCCTCATTTCCAAACCTCCAAAACACCCCCCACCCTACCCTAGTTAAGCCCCTTACCCTCCCAAATCAACCCACTACCCCTCTTGCTAAACAATGCAAAACAGAGGCTCATTTTAGCATTGCACAACTCACGGATGCTAATGTGCACCGGTGGGGGATGGATTTCATCCCCCCTCCGCCACTCTTTCCGTTTGAGCAACCGGATCTTGGCCCAGAAATGGACTACTACTTCACGGGCGGTGGTAGTGGTAGTGGCAGTGTCAGTAGCGGTGATACAAGATTTGTAGTTGAGGGTACAAGTGATCGTAACAGTGAGATGGTCTCGTTTGACAGGGTCGGGTTTAATCAGTTGTTGCTACCGAGTATTTGATATGAATTGTTTTAAACATGAACATATAAAAATCTATATGTAGGATTATGACTAGTACTTTATGCCCATGATTGTTATCAAATTCACGTATGTAAATAAATGCTACCACTTTTAGAGTCGAACAATAACAAGAAGATGGAGGGGGTGTTTTAGACTTTTAGTATAAAAAAAGTTCTTTAGGTTATGGTTTTCTTTAGGGAAGAAATGGGATGGGGAATTGGGGAATGTGTCCCATCCCTTGAACTTGAAAATGCTAAAAATTGCAAAACATGTAACCAAAAGTGAAAGTAGAAATAAATGCACAATAATTCATTTATGAGGGGTGGAAAATCAATTGGATTTGATATTTGATTTGATTGAAGGTTGGGAAGCTTTTGAGGTCAACTCACCATCAATAGTGACTTATGTCATGTTCACCTATCCCCAAATAATAACCGGAACTAAAAGAAAATCGATTATTTAGGTTAATTTTACTTGAAACGAAAACAAATCTTGTGTGTTGTACATGTTTTGAAAAAATAAATTTTAAAATGTTTGAAAAGTGAATACCACATGAATCATGACTGATAAATACATTGTTTATTTAAATTTGATTTTGATTTTTTATAATTTTACTTAAGTGTTTGATAAAACTCATGGATCAAATTGTAAATCGTTTATCATAATGTGATTTTACTCTCACTATGATCCGAGAATCTATAAGATTAGTTGTTGGAACAATCTTTTTACCATTTATTTCTGTTAACCTTAACAAAAATGGCCTCTAGATTTGGTTAATTTCATAATTTTGGAGTCTGTTAAACAAAAAACCAAATATTATAAATACTCGGTAGTTTTTAGAGTAGGTTGGAGCTCACCATGGGATGAAAGAGTTATGGTTAAGGTTACACAAAACCGCTTTAAGTAGTTTTTAGAGTAGGCGGATTGGGAAAGAAGCATGAAGAAGGAAAGCTACTAGAAGGTCAAGCATGAGGCAAAAAAAAAAAAAAAAAAAAAAAAAAAAAAAAAAAAAAAAAAAGCGGTGGTTAAAGCTATGTCCATGGCATACAAAGAGATTTAAAAGAGATCATGTATGAGATTGAGCACAAAAACTAGATGTTAGGATCTACAAACTAGCAAAATCTAGAGAGAAAAGATAAGAAGCATAGGAAAAGTTTGTTATATTAAGGATGATAATGTTAGAGTTATTATGAAGATGAAGATATTAAGGCTGGACGGAATGGGAGCGGGGAAGACCCACAGGGAGCTTCCCGCCCAGCGGAACACCGCACCGTCGGTGCGGGGAAGGGTGGTGCGGGAATTGGTGAGGGGAGCCTCTCCCGCGTTCTCTCTCCGGCTGTGATTGGGTGTGATTTTTTTTTTTTTTTTTGAAATTCAACTGTTATTCAACGGTATATATATATATATATATATATATATATATATATATATATATATATATATATATATATATATATATATATATATATTGGCTGCAACGGCTAAATGGATTTAAATCCATTTTTTTGTTTTTTTTAACCTTTTTACACACCTATAAATAGTTAAATACACAACTATTTACCATCAAACAAAATTCACACAAACCCTCTACTCTCTACTTTCTTCTCAAAAAAAAATATGAATCCCGACAATCAAACCCTAACTTCCGATCGAAGGAAAAAAAGTCATGGTTCGAGTATAAACATCCCTTCTCGAAACATTTTTGCTATCGATTCATCACCACAAGGAGTTTATCGCCCCCAACTCGATGCTCCCATTCAATCCCCACTACAATTCCAATACCAAAATGTTGGACAATATTACCCGATGCAAGTTCCAAATGTTTCGTCGCAAATGTTTTCAAACTTTGTTGTGTTTTCGGATCAACAATCGCCAAATCAACCTCAACCCCAAACCTAAACTCAAACTCAAACCCAAACCCGCCAACAACGCCAACTTGTCGATGAGTTGGATGACTCGGAAGAAGAAGAGATGGTTCCCGAAACTCAACCCACACCACCCCCTCAAAGACGTAAAGGGGAAAAACAAGCGCATGAGGGTGTCGAACAACCGGGAAGAAAAAAGCCGATTGCATGGCTTCCACACGAAGAGCTAGTTTTGGTCAAAGCTTGGGCTGACATTTCTGAAGATTCGATTCAAGGAAACGCACAACCGAGAGACCATTTTTGGTTTCGCATTTTAGAACAGTTTCGAGAGGAGCTAGAAAAAGATGACGACTACCGTACGAAACATCAACTGAATTCAAAGTTTCGAGAAATAGCAAAGGGGGTTTCAAAAATAAACGGGTTGTACAACAACCTAAAAACCCAACGGAAAAGCGGCCAAGGGGACGAACAAATATTTCAAGAAGCTTTGCAGTTTTACCTTGAAGAAGTCGGAAAACCATTCAAGTCGCACGATTGTTGGAAATTATTGGTTCGATGTCCTAGGTGGAAAAAATACGAGCAATATTTTATTTTTGGAGTCCAACAATCAAAGCGAATGAAAACGCGCTCTAGTGGTTACACAACCTCCTCCGATGCTCGGGTCGGTCTAGATTTAAATCAGGATGACGAACTCGAGCTAGAAGAAATTGTCCGCCCAATGGGTAGGGACAAAGCGAAGAGAAAGGGAAAAGGGACTTCTTCGGGTGCATCTGATTTCAGCGGGGACATTGACGAAATGCGGAAAATAACATCGTCGTTTGATCGATATAATCTTAATTTCTCCGAACGTTTGGCTTTCGACAAAGAAAAAGAAGAAACAAGGAAAAAGGAGCGGGCGGAGAGACAAAAAATGGAGGATATGAAGTTTTTGATGGAAAACGTCGATCATCTCTCGGGGCCGGATCTCGAGCTCGTGATGAAGAAGAGGGAAAAAATTCTGAAAAAATATTTTCCGTAGGTCGTTGTTGGTTTGTTTGATTTTTAGTTCGTGTTTTTTTTTTTTTTTTTTTTTAATTTTCTAGTTTTTTAAATTTTAGGTTTAATGTAAGTTTTATTTTAATTAATGAAATGCTTTTTATTTTTAGTTAAATTTTATGTTTAGTATTAATTTAAAAATTATAAATCATAAAAAAAAATTAATTTTATTTAATTAAAAAAAAAAGTGAGGGAAGGGCTTCCCACCCATTCTTTGGGTTTTAGGTGAGGGAAAGAAAAGTGAGCGAAAGGGGGGTACGACCCACAAAAAATGAGGGAAACTTTCCTCCCATACCCTCCAGTCTAAGAGGAATTGGACGCTTCTTCGCTCAAAAGGATAGGAACATAACATAGAGGACATGGGGAGTCACTAGACTTGCAAGTGAGGGTTCTTTCATGAAGATTAGTAGCGAAGAAGTGAAATGAATTTAAAGTGGATGGGGATGAACATAATCGTAGGTCCGGATCAAATCTTATTACTTTAGTAGTATGTGGCAATACATTAGGGATGAAGGGGTTCGGTAGCGGATGAAATAACATAACAATATCTTAATGATTGTCAAAATGCCTATGGAGTGGGGATCTCATATTGTGATCATGATATATAAGAAAAAAAACGAGATGCCTAAAGTTTCAAAAAACTAGATAAGTTACTTAGTCATATCATGACACTATAGGAGAGCGTCGTGGAGGACAAGTTGCCAAGTGTTGTAGTTGTATTAGAAAATCACTTCAGTTTCATGTTTGGGCAGTCAACTACTAATACGATCCACCTCCTGAGACACCTTATGGAGAGATATATAAAGAAATAGGGATCTCCATATGGTGATCATCAACCTGGAGAAGACGCATGATAACGTACATTGTGAAGCTATTTGGTGAAGACCTTGGAAGCTAGAAACTAGAAAGGTTGCACATAGATAGGTTAAGGCTACTCATTATATGTAATGTCGTCATCAACTTGTGTTTGAACTATAATTGATGACATAATCCTTTCTCACGAGAATTAGTGGTGCCTTAGTATGTGCTTTTTGTATATGACATTGTGTTGGTAATCGAGACCAAGACTAAAATGAATGTTAGGCTATATACTTATGGCATTGGAAGAGAAGGAGTTACATACCAATATAGTAAAAGCAAAGTATCTTTGTTGCAAATTAAATTGTGAGCATAATTATGAAAGTGTTGCAGTAACTATTACAGAGCAAGTTCTACATACAAAGAAAAGTTTCAAGTACTTTCAAGTCTATGATCCATAAGGAAGGGGTTGTTGAGGTGTATGTTACACACCACATAAAACCAGGTTGGTTAAAGTGGAAAGTGGTCACATGAGATTTACGGGACAAAGTCCATTGAAATTTAAAGAGAATTTTTACATGGTGGCAATTTGGCTGGTTATATTTTATGGATATGAACGTAGGCAAACTAAAAAGGAACTTGAGAAAAAGATGGATGTTGTAAAAATGAGGATGTTGCGATGACTATGCGGTAGAACATTTTTGGACATAAAACCGATCATGACGATCAGAAATATGTTTTGAGTGGCGTCAACCACCAAATATATAAGAAAGATTGTCATGGTGTGGACATGTTCACAAGTGGTTATCGAGGGCTATGGTTAGGAGGGAGAATATGGTCTCGTTGATGGTACGACAAGGAGAGAACACGAAAGAACAAAGTGTGAAAATAGCATGAAGTTAAACATTAATGAGGTGGCTTGTTCCAAGGACATGATCTCCAATAAAACATGTGTACTAGCACAAAATCAAGATAATAAATTAATCCAGGTCCTTATTTTGCTTTCTGATATGGCTTGTGCCTTTCGTAACATAGTCATCCATTTGAAGCTATATTTCACCCATAGAAGTTGTCTTTCTATTTCTACTCTCAACTCTAAGACTTGCCTCCTATCCTTACCTCAGTTATAATTAGTTTTAATTATTTAATCAATCAATAATAGACTATTAATGATGTCAACCAAGGTTTTAAAATACGGAATCGGGCCTCGAGGCATTTACCCCTCCCTCGCCTCACGAGGCGTAAGCCTCGAGGCGGAATAAAATAATAATAATAATATATTATATTAATCATAAAAAACATACTAAAGTCCAATTTCAAACATAAAATTCTTACTTAATGTCATCATCCTAAAAATAAAAAGATACTAAAATTTATAATAGTCTTCAAATCATGCCAAATTAGTAAAAACAAAACCATAATAGTCTTCAAGTCAAGCCAAATCAACAAAAACGAGAAGAGAAAAGAAATTGAAGAAGTGAACAGTCAAGCAACCTTCGAGAAGTCCAACTCAGTACCTTTGGATTTTGATGCAGAAGTGGGGAACAACTTCGATTTTAACTCACAAATTGAAGACCATGTTCGATTTTGCTAACAATCACTTAACAGGGGGAGTAAGAAGAAACGAGAAGAGAAAAGAAAGAAGAAACGAGAAAAGAAGGAATGACGGCTTGAGCAATATTAGGTCAAATAAGATATCACGTGATTTCTAAGGTCAAAAAGTCAAAAAAAAAAAAGGAAAAAAAAACTCAGAACGCCTCATACGTTTCGACTCGAAACGCCCCGCCTCGGACCGCCTTTTAAACCGCCTCACAGGATTGAGGCGTACGCCTCATTCTCCCCCTAAGAGGCGACGCCTCATAATCGGTTTTGTTCCGCCTCGCCTCAAGGGACGCCTCGAGGCGTACGCCTCAAACGATTTTTAAAACCTTGATGTCAACTAAAACTCCATTCACAAGAACAAAACATTAAGTGATACACGATTATCAAAACAAATGTACATTTTTCATGTTTTATTAATCTTTTATTTTCGCCAACATTTGCGGAAGTAAAGTCATTATAACTAGTTTAAGGACGTGTTTGACGCATCACAACTAGCTTATTTTTCGAGCTTTTTTAAATTATCATGTTTAGCAAATAAAAAAATAGCTGATAAACTAGCTTTCTTAAAAGCTACTTAAAATAGCTTTTCAAGAGTTTATTTTTTAATTTTCCATATATACCCTTAATTAATTATAAAAAACATGTTCTAAATGTTTTTTTATGTTATTTTATATCTTTCAGCTAATTTACCAAACGTTATTTTTATTAGCTAGTTTATAAGTTGCCATAACTTTTCAGCTACTAACTAGCTTTTCAGCTAGTCCGTCAAACATAGCCCAAGTGTTTAATCATCAAAATGTAACATTTACGTCAATAAAACAAAAAACAAATTATTAATAGAACAAAACATAAACTACATTGTTACTTCCATGCATGGAGAAAAATACATTACACAAAATGAACAAAAGTGGGTTGCTATTTTGCACATATAAAATACTTTCCCAATATTACCACGAAATAATAAAACAAGGCATCACAAAATGCAAGAAAGCACTCTATACAAAAATTAGAAAACCATTATGGACACATTTAAATGCCAAAAGGATGAAGGTAAAAGCTTTAAAACTTTGTTGCACTAATTAATAATTGAAAGAGAGTGAATAAAGAAAAGAGTATGCTAAAACATAAACAAATGAGCTTAAAACATCAAAACTAATTTTCCCAATGGCTTTAACCGGAATACGGCTAACACATAATAGATCATTGGGGTTATTGTGGTTCAACCTTCCACCATGCAAATTTCTACAAAAGTAATCTCTGCAAAACAATAATGGTAATTAATCAGACTTTGTAATAGAATCTCAAGAAAGTGAAATTTGTCATGCGTTTGTTTGGCAAGAAATGGAATAGAATCCAATCCAACTCCTATAATTATTTATGGTTTGTAAATCTATCAAAGGATTAAGGGGGAGCTTTTGTTTATGAAATTCTAGGATTAAAAGGGTATTTGAGTTTATGAAACCGCTATGCCACCACAATTGCATCACGAGAACCACTATTTTAGTTTGTGACAGCAATAACTGCTTTACTACTTTACTTTCAGTTCTATTGGTAGTATCTGTATTCTACTTTCACTGTAGAAGTCTCTTTAAGAGCACAAAAGGATAATCAAAAACATGCTTTAGATGAACTCATCCTTAACCACAAAGTTAGGAGGTTGTGGCATATAAACTTCCTCTTCAAAGTAACATTGTGAAATGTGTTCTAAGGCCTAGTTATGCATCATCATTGTGGACCTTACAAGTTACAACTCACCTAATGTAATAGAGTCCTAGTTCTGCACAATACCCATCTGCTATTTCAATTAAATTCAATACCGAAATCAACACACGATCTGATACGAACAGATACACTATCTTCAAAGCAGACAATCACAATTTGAACATATGCAATCCACAATACTCGGTCCAAAAATAAACAAACAAATAAACCCTAGAACCTTATACAGAGGAAATAGGTGAGGGAGAGAAACTAACCTAGAAAGATCTCTATTTGAGAACTTTAGAAGAAGAGTTCTTCTCGTTGTAGATGAAATCGGGAGGAGAATAGATAAGAGAAGCGATCATGGCTCCAGGGAGCACCCCGAAGACAGAAACCGCAGCCATTTTCTTCACCAAAGGCTCCCCGTCTCTTGTTATCACCGACAATAGACCCTTTGTATACCCCATTTTCGCCTTTTTCTTTCCCGCAAAAGATTCAAAGGGATCGATCGATCGATTTTGATCCGTGCTGAGACAAATCTGATGTGATTTTCAGCCCCTTCTCCGATTAAAAAACAAGCGACGGCTTATGTGATTATTTTATGAAAAAATGACAGAAAAGGCCCTTAAATTTGTAAACATTTGACGGTTTTACCTAACATTCATTTATGCGTGTAGCTGTCTTAAACGTGCAAACTTTTCTCCATAAATGGCATGCAGCAACTAACAAGTAAAAGTGTAAGAGTACCCCGTATGGGTCTAATAACGGCGGTAGGGTTGAGCAAAAATCAAACTGCAAACCGAAAACCCGTAAAATAACCGAAAAATCGATACCGAAAAATCGAAACCGAACATATTCAGCATGGCTACCAATGAAGGTGTAATTAATGTCAATGATCAACAAGAAGATGGAGTTGAAGTCCCAGTTAATTCTTGTGAACCCTGATGAGTTTATTTTTAGCATATTTCATTCATATTTTAGTTAATTTCCATGCATATTTTCCTTTTTGTTATTTTATGACCACTTTCGGGTATTTTCTAGTTTCATGAGTATAATTGCAAATTTTAAGGAGACTAGAGGAGCGGGATCTTTGGGAAGCAATTGGACTTGGAGGAAAACAAGGATTTTGGTCTTAATGGCTATGGATATAATGCATGGAGTGGGCTTGTTAATTATTTGAAGGCTTGGAAGAATTAAACTTTAAATTTGCAAGATGCGGGAGAATTCTCGAGTGAGCGGAGATTGACAATCGGGCGATTACGAAAGCTATGGATTGTTTAGAAAAGGCTAATTGGGCTTAAAATGAAGAAATCTTGCAGAAAAATGGGCTAGAAGCTAATCAGACTCGAATTGGGCCAAATGGGTTAACATGTGGAGGCCCAACAAATGAAGAAGATCCACCCCCGTCACTCTTACGTGGCCCGCATAAGGTTTCCACGCGGCCCGCGTGGATTCCTACAGGGGCATTTTCGGGATTTTTATTGGAGCTCTATATGGGGAAGGTTGGTGTGCCACTTTTCTCGACTTTTGCACATTCGAACTTGGGAGTATTCTCTGCAGAATTTGGAGCATTTTGAATACTAAAAACCTTGAAGAACTTCATCATTTTGCTCTTGAATCTTGTAAAATGTTTGGTACAATCTTTACTTACTTTGTTTTCATGAGTTTAGTCATGCTTGGCTAAACAAAACTTGGTTGACTTTGGTGAAATCCTTTGACTTATGTTGAATGTTGAAGACTCCATGAACTAGTTCTTGAATCTTTATGAGAATGTTCTTGAATCTTTATGAGAATGTTATTACTACTTTTTAACATCTTATTACTACTTGTATGTTTTTATTCATGAGTTTAAATATGCTTGTGGTGATTAGTTGGCTAATTTCTTGATTAAGTAAAAGATCCTCAAATTAGCAAGCAACAAATGATTTTTGTGTTAGTTTTGCTTCACACAATCATAAAAACATTTTCTCTAACATGGTAGTGAAAGTATTTGACTCCTCTTGGATTTGGTGAGTTTTTGGTTCTTAATGCTAGTTGACTTTCACTAATTACATGCTTAATGGAAATTGTGACTTTGACTAAGGAAATTGTTATGAGCTTCTCTAACCATTTTAAAAACTAAGAAAAGTCTAGGTAATCTCAAGCTTCTTGGATTACTATAGCCAAATTAAGGATTTAAAACAAGTATTACACCATTGGATTATAATGATATGTTCATCAAAAGTCAAAGTGAGGAAACCTTAAGTCAACCATCTTTCTCTTATTGATTTTACATCAAACCTTTATTTTTGTTGAATTGTCTATTTATGTAACGACCCAAAAATCATGACTAAAAATTTCGTTTTAAAAACATTACTTAAACCACAATTATCAATTCAGAACATAAATCATAATGTTAATTTCAAAACATAATCTTCTTATCAGAGTAAAACATCCCAGGCTGACTAGCTATGGTGTGTGCCATGCGATCATCCCGAGCTCTACACTCCGCTGTCGGAAATACCTGAAACCAAAACTGAAAACTGTAAGCACGAAGCTTAGTGAGCTCCCCCAAACTACCACATACCATACAATAACATATAAAGCAACTACTGGGCCTTGCCCACTGCATCGGACCGAAGTCTGGACTAACTGGGGCCTTGCCCCCTGCATCGGACCGAAGTCCGGACTAACTGGGGCCTTGCCCCCTGCATCGGATCGAAGTCCGGACTAACTGGGGCCTTGCCCCCTGCATCGGACCTAAGTCTGGACTAACTGAACATAGCATAACATAATCATAGCTACTAGCATAAACACATATATTGCATACTGCATCGGACCGAGGTCCGGACTAACTAACACACAAACATGCCTGAATCACAAAGACATCAAGCATACTGTACTACTGCATCGGACCAAAGTCCGGAACTACTGCTATCTAAACGGACCGGCATTGTGGTCGTAGACCCGTTCCTACTGGAAGCAAAACTCACCTCGTAACGCTGGCTGCTGAGGTGCTAAATCTGAGACTGTCTGACTGCTGCTCCGGAACTCCCCGGCTACAAATCCCATAAACACTAAATCAAATACTGATAACTAATCTCAGGGTAGAATGACTATTTTACCCCCGGTCAAAGTCAACTTCCTGGTCAAAGTCAAGTTCCAGTTGACCGGACTCGCCGAGTTGGGCCGCCAACTCGCCGAGCCCCTATCATCCATTCTAATCCTCTACCCGCTTCTACTCGTCGAGTTTGGCAAAGACTCGACGAGTTCTTCTTCGATACTAACATCGAATCTAACTTCATCCGACTCGCCGAGTTTTATGAACAACTCGTCGAGTTCTCCTTCATCATATGAACACGTCCAGTCTGTGACTCGCCGAGTCGTAAGAACAACTCGTCGAGTCTGAAGAACAACTTGCCGAGTTGAAGAACAACTCGCCGAGTCCCAAGCATGCTATTACTATATAGTCGATTCTAATCGATTTCAGTGCTTCCAAATCATAGATCTGAGCTTCTAGGACTGGTTTTACACGTAAAGTTTCCAACTTTACGTACATGCACAAGAGTATGAGGCTAAAATACCAAAATCATCAAATACTAAGCACTTAGGGTTTGGAACAAGGCCATGCTTGCATAAAGATGGCTATATTGAGCTCCTGGAGTTCAATAACGTCCAGATCTATGGTTTCCATCCAAAGGGGAGTCCATATCTCGAGTTTTGAATCATATAAGGCTCCAAAAGAGACATAACAAGCATAAAAGAGGGTTTAATGGAGGAATACACAAGGTAATAACTTTATTACCTGAATGAGAAACAGATGGGAGATAACTCTTGGATCTCCTTCCTCTTTTATGAACCTTCTTCCCTTCCTTCTCTTCCAAAGCTTCCAAACTAGCACAAACACACTCAAGCTCAACAGTGGGGGCTAGGGTTTACAGGGGAAATGCTCTAAAGGTGCTGGAGGCTGGGGTGGGAGGCTATAATGACGTTTAAATAGGGTACAAACCCTGGGATTTAGGGTTTCATCCAGACATGCAGACTCGCCGAGTCCCAACATATGGACTCGCCGAGTAGCCAACTTAAATCGCGTGATCATCCCGTCTCTACTCGACGAGTCGGGCTACAGACTCGTCGAGTACCCCTTAAGAAAATGAAAATTACTTTATTAAATCACATACCAGAAATGGGGCGTTACAACTCTCCCCCACTTATCATAGACTTCGTCATCGAAGTCTGCTACTACTGAATCTATGAATATCTCTAGATAATGCTCCCTCATCTCCTCCTCGGTCTCCCACGTCCACTCTGAACCCTTTCGGTGCTGCCACTGCACCTTCACTAACTGAACCACCTTGTTCCTCAAGGTCTTCGTTTTCCGATCCAAGATCGCAACTGATCTCTCGATATAATTCAGGCTGTTATCAACCTGAATATCCTCCAAGGGTACTACTGCTGACTCATCCACCAAACACTTCCTCAACTGAGATACATGGAAAGTGTTGTGGATCTGGCTAAGCTCTACTGGAAAATCCAATCGATAAGCGACCCGACCCACCCAGGCCAAAACCCTAAACGGACCAATGAACCTGGGGCCCAACTTGCCCCTCTTTCGGAACCTGATAACACCCTTCCAGGGTGATACCTTCAGGAGGACCATATCGGCCACCTGAAACTCCAAATCCGAACGCCTCCTGTCGGCGTAACTCTTCTGCCGACTCTGCGCAGTCTGCAGTCTGCTACGGACCTGCTGGATTAACTCTGTGGTCTTGAGTACCACCTCTGTACTCCCCATGACTGGCTGACCGACCTCACCCCAACAGATTGGGGTCATGCACTTCCTCCCGTAGAGCATCTCGAAGGGAGGTCGGTCCATACTGGAGTGATAGCTGTTGTTATACGAAAATTCCGCTAACGGAATATACGTATCCCAACTGCCACCGAAATCTAGCACACATGCCCGAAGCATGTCCTCGAGAGTCTGAATCGTCCTCTCGCTCTGTGCATCCGTCTGAGGGTGAAAAGTAGTGCTGAAATGGAGACGAGTCCCCATCTCGTCATGAAATCGCTTCCAAAACCTGGAAGTGAACCGGACGTCTCGATTTGATACTACTGATACAGGCACTCCATGCCGTGCCACTACCTCGCGCACATAAATATCGGCTAGCTTCTCGGCCAATATGCTCTCCTGAATCGGTATGAAATGCGCGCTCTTGGTCAGCCGATCCACTTATACTTGGTCATAACTCAGATAATCGTGCTATGAGTGACTTGCCACTCCCCAAGCTATCCATGAAAATCCAAAATACCATTACCTCTGGAGACCCAACACTGTCTGAAACACTGATATGCCTGGAACACTGAACTACCTGATCACTGAATTGCCTGAACACTGAGCTGCTACATGGCTGCTTTCCAACATCTTCTCGAGATCTTCCTGGTCTCAATTCATTCGTCAGCCATCTGAAATACCGGGTTCCCGCCCGAC